TTCTATCACAGGCTAGAGATCTTTTTTATCTTATGTTTTCTGTTTACATGTTTATACTCTTGCATATGCTTAATAACCGGACTTGCCAAGTGGAGGAATGCAGGCACGATTGGACTAAACACTAGCAGAGTGAATGAAGCCTGTTAGGCTAAGTTTGGATTGTTATTTTGCTTCTTGCTTGATGGTGTCTCATTGCTTGTCATGGTAAAACCCCTTTGTAGCTGGTGAATTACGATGCATTAAACAGTGGTTTAAAATGTGGTGGTAAATAGTTAGACAGAGATGAATCTGGAGTGCCCTGCCAACACAGAAGAAACGGCAGTGATGTCTTTCAAAGTCTGCTAGCTGTTTGATTCTGGCAGGCGGAGTGAATGATGGCAGAGCAGCTAAGACACATCTCATTCCTCTGCAGTAAGAAGATGGTGACTTGTTTGTATCAACATCCAAATAGCTTCTTATAATGGGTATTGATTTGTCAGCAAACTGACAGTGATGCGATCTTCTCCTGTAGCCTGCTCCTCCCACACTCATCATTTAGTACAGTGTTCCGAAATACAGCCAACAAATATAGAAGGGGTTATGGCTTCCACATTAATAACAGTAATGCTAAATGATGCAGTCTGATTTCAGTTTGTTTGTATCAGCTAGACAGGCAGACTGAATGCAGTGAAGACGTTTTTGAGCAAATGTGTACATACAGACAAGAAACATCTGCAGTAAATCCCATATTTGCTAATGGAACAGCCTCTATCCTGCTCTCTGCTATAGCTCACAGGTCTAGAGAGGTCATTTAAATTCTTATTCCAATTGAAGGTTTTTATTGCTACTTTTCTGTGTTAATGTAGTTAATGTTAATGTAATGTAAATTAATGTAAGTTAATGTAGCATTTAGGAGCCACAATCAAACATTTTTAGGAGCCAGAAAGCTTGTGTTTCCACTGACAACTCCAGAAACCCTTTCAGAAAAGTCAGGCAGCAGCTGTAGTTTTTGGCACGTTGGCTCCCTGGCTCCTGGGATTGTGTAGTCCTGACGTAGAGCATTATTATTTGCCAAAATTTACGTTTAGTGCTGCTGTAAATACCAGAATCATCAGGTTAGAACACCACATCACTATGTGATGTGGTCAAAAGATCCAGTTGATTGTGTTATTTGTATACAAGCATGCATTTTATGCACTGCCTAGACATTCCTGGCGCTGGTGCTGCTGTGAGAAACAATAGCTAGTGGCCAGAATATCGGATAAATGGACCTTTACACCCTTTCACTAAAAATCACATCAGCGTGCAGCACTGCATCCTGGGAAGGTTACATTGCCAATGTATTGCGGAGAAATCTAATGTTTAAACTGTAAAACCTTGCGAGATCTCAGGGAAATGCATTTCCCTCTCCTGAGATGATGTGCATGGTCACATGTTCCAGTCACATGTGCCAGAGTTCCAGGAAGGAGAGGGAGATCTAGTAATCTGCCCTTAGTCAAACTGGCCACTCTGAGATGACTGGGGAGAAACAGTAAAATAAGGTATGCAGAAAATACAAAGCCTGCAATGATCTAGAAGTATGTGTTTGTAGATTGTCAGTACTGAACATTCCTAAAGGTGCCTTTGTTGTCATTTTAACAATAAGGGTAAAGTTCATACACATTAAAGGAATAGTCCACCTTTTATTTGATTTGTTCCAAGTCTGCACACATTCCTGTTGGCAGTGTACCTTCTAAAACGTGTTGCGTAACTTTCTGTCTTCACTTCCTTTATTACCAGTCTCATAAAAAGCAGGTTTGAAGCTGCATGGTGGAGAAACTCCGTAGTACTGACATTTTCTACATGTTGCATTCTGTATGGAAGAGACAGAAAGGGTACTGTAGTGGGTGTGTTTGAGACTAGCCTTCCTGCACCATAAGAAAGAGATCTCAAATCAGCAAATTAGCAATAATAGTAACTGATGCACATAGATGTACTACAACAATGTCTGGGTGGAAACCTGTAGTACTGAGGCTACGGTCACACCTAAGCGACTGAGCTGGTGAGCTGTTTTCGCGCAGTTGTCGTGCGTTTCTGTTCACGCCATTTTGCTTTGAAAACCGCATGGTTGTCGTGCGGTTTTCACTGCAAAGAGATGTCTAAGGGACCCAAATCGCGCAACATCTGCCCCCCGAAAATCGCTCCTGTACCTTTTTGTGTGATCGACGATTTATACCACGCGACAAATCACAAAAGTGTAAACAGCTTCAATAGACTTGAATGCAAAACTACTCAGTTTTGTGCGATATTGCGCGGCTGAATCCGCGCAATAAATCGCCTAGGTGTGAACCTAGCCTAAGCCTGTAGGCTGTGATCCTTACATGCATTTCTAGGTTTCATTTTGACAGGAGCATACTTTTTAGAAAATGCAGTTTACAGCAACATGAAAAGGCCTGGTGTCCTATTACAGTTTATGAATTTTAAGCTGAAATTGTGACCAAAGATGATTTGTTATGATATACTTCTGACAACCCCGGAGAAGTGTAACATCAATTATAGGTAAAGCAAAGGGTGGAAAAAAAAGTCTGTACTTTGACCCAGTGCGATAGTAAATAAAAGATTTCTGGTGAATGATATCATTGTATAGAACATGTTTTCAAGGAAGTCATCACCAGCACAGGCACAGAAGCAAAGAACATCCAAGGGATTACAGGGCACAATCTTTGGCAGTGACTCAGTGAGTAATAGGATTGAAAAGCCTTCATGTCATTCCAAGGTTTACTCCGGAAAACTTCCCAAACCACCAAAGATATTTGCTGTAAGCAGGTTAAACCTTCAGTGTAGGAGCAGGGTTTGGCGTCAGAACAGCGTTCTGAAGAGCTCTGTGCACTGTTCATTGTTTGCAAAAATACAAAAAAGGAAATAAAAAAATGTTTGTGGTTTTCATTTATAATTCTCTGATCACATACACATTCACACACACAAACACACACACAAAGACACGTAAAAAGTACTATAATGGCAAAAAATAAGCAGAGCTAGTTTTGTAGCATAGGCTACATTGTAAAGAAGGAAAAAGACAGCATTGTCCAGTATTGCTTTGTTTAACTTTAAGCAGTCACTCCCTGACACTAAACTCAGGAGTTATATTTTAAAAAATGCACCTCAGCTGTTTATCTTATTTGTGTATCGCTCAGCTGTAGATCCTCAAATCATCTCTGAATTGGTGCTGACACTGTCTGGAGGGTGTCTATGTTTGTTCCCCATGGTCCCTGTGTGTGTTGTAAAGTGGTCACCACTCCAAGCTCGCTCCCGTGATGGACTATAATCTCAGTACAAATTCGTAAACTAAACATGAGATTGTAGTCTTGGAGTGGTGACTACTTTACCACACACACCGGGACCATGGGAAACAAAAGTAGCCACCCTCCAGAAGTAAGGACAGTGTCAGCACCAATTCAGAGATGATTTGAGGATCAAATGCACCTCCCATCCACAGTGTGATTGCCCGCACTGGAAGGCGCGGTACTGCAATGCTATGCGTTCCAGTGCAGTGCTATTTCAAAAAATGTGCATACCGTTTTATTGTGAAGTAAACTTTATGTCTGTAATTGTTCCTTGATGGTGCCGATAGGTTTATGTTAAATATTTATTTATTGGACTAACAAGTGAAAACGTTTGTAAAATGTATTATGTTGATTCTAAACTTGGCCTTGTCCTGGAAGAGTAGTATGCAAAAGAAAGAAATGAGAAATGGTTAAAACTGCAATGCACTTGCAATATGTCAAAAATGGTTGTGGCCTGAATTTCTGTTTTGGGAGAACGATTGTATACTCTGCATTTTAATATTTCCAGGTAAAACTGTTTCCAGTTCTCTAGTAAATTAATATACTATTGTTATGTTTATACACACCCCAGCAAATTGCTGACTTCAGAAACCTGCCTGGGAGCCCACGAATCCACTTGGAGGTCAGAGTATTGTGATTTATGGATGAGGTGGACAGTATAGCTCATACGTATTGCTGTGGTACAAAGGAAGAGCTTTTTTATGATCTGTAAATGAAATGAAAATTGGCCAATAAAGAACTCTTATTTCTGCTCCCTCTGTGTATTGCCAGCAGAGTGAAACACTCCCAACAATCAGCTCTGGGTTACTGAGCGGCTTGTCTTTTGGACTGTGATTGAAGTTTGAGATTTTCTCCCTTTCAAAGACACTTGCCA